ATGTGCGCCATCCAACTTGCCTGCCTTTTGCCTTTGCCTAATTTTTGGTAAGTTGTTATTTTCCTTTTTTCCCCCGACCATCAACTGTTCCAACTATCAGCTGTGCCGGAAGATTTAGATTAGCTAGAAAGCAGGAAATTGTTGGATTTCTTGCTTTCTAGCTAATCTAAAAGCAGAGCTGAACCTTCCTTAGGACTGAAGCTTTTATTTTTCAGTGCAGACTCAGGTAGCAGATTGCAGAAAGGTAGATCTCTGAGTGAATCTGTGAACAACTCAATCTGCCTGCCTGATTTGCCTGATTTTGGATAAAAGTTGCTTTTTTAAAATAAAAAATTCAATATATGGTGTGTTGTGAGTTAATTTTGTGAGTTTGCTTGCTAGCAAATTTTATGAGTTTGCTTGCAAGCAAATTTTATGTGACAGGCTCAGGCAGCAGATTGCAGAAAGATAGATCTCTGAGTGAATCTGTGATTCTGTGAACAACTCAATCTGCCTGCCTGCTTTTGGGTAAAAGTTGCTCTTTTTTAATAAAAAATTCAATGTTTACATAAATATTTACAATATTTACATACAAGCCACACCCACCCAGTCACATGATCACCAAGCCATACTCAAAATTAGGCCATGCTCACAGAAACGGCTGTTAAGAAATTTGAATCCCATCCCTGATTGTGCACGTGTACTTACGAATGCTCCCACACATGACAATTGTGTACATTTGTTGCATAGGAGATTGGGGCATGCAAGTTTTGACATAATGCAGAAGATGCCAGGCCTAGCTGAGGGACTTAGGATAAAGAAATGCAATGTGTATTTAGATTGCGCTGTTTGTAAGGAGTCAAAGTCCAGGGTGTATTCTGTAAGTAAAATAGCTCAAGGAAAACAGAGTATTGCAATTAGCGCGTGCTGATTTGCTTGGCCCTATGGCACCTTCTTTAGGAGGAGCTAGGTACACCTTAGTCATAGTAGATGACTACAGTAGATATGGGTTTGGTTATCTGCTGATAAGCAAGACAGAAGTATTGCAACAGTTCAGGCCATGGGTAACACTTGTAGAGCAACGGTATGGTTATAAAGTATGCCAGCTGCAAACAGACAGGGGAACAGAGTTTATGTCTGATAAGTTCCAAAGATGGTTAAGCAGTTTAGGCATAATGCATAGATGAATGAATCCATATTCGCCGGCTGAAAAAGGAGTGGCTGAAAGAAGGAATAGTGTAATACAGACAATGAAGGACTCATCGCTTGTTGATGCAGGCATGAGTAAAATATACTGGGGGGAAGCCATGAAGACAGCAAATTAACAAATTAGCAAATTAACAGTATATGGCGTGTGGTGATAAAGGAAACCCTCCTTGGCTCATCTAAGGACATTTGGCAGTTATGCCTGGGTGCATATTCCAATAGGCACTAAGAGAAAAGGAGAAAAAATGGCCAGGAAGCTTAGGTTTGTTGGGTATGAGCCAGGATCCAAAGGGTATAGGTTTACAGATGGAATCAGAAAGGTATTGATTTCAAGATCTGCTAGTTTTGTGGAGCAGAACAATTGGAATAGGGTGCGTGCTAATCATGAGGCGTTCATGCCAATGCATAGCACTAGTTTTATGGAAGGCAGCTCGATAAAGGAGACAAGAGAATGAGTCAGAGGTAGATATAGAAGAGGATAGACCTGTGATAAAAAGTAAAAGCACAGAAACACAGGAACAGATAATACCAAGGAGATCTGAAAGGAGTAATAAAGGTTACCTCTGAAAGGTTCACTGCAAGTGAGATTAGAATATATAGTGTTAAGTATGAACCCCATAATTACCAGATGTTGTCATTGTCTAAGCTAGAACATGTAAATGTAAATGTGACTGTTTTGTTTTTCTTTCTTTATTTGTTGTTCATGTATCAGATAACATATTTAAGTATAAACATGATTATTAATACATGAAATTGATAAGAATAAAAGGGAACATTAGGATAGGGATGGTAGACATGTTGGTGTGCTTATGCACGCCCTTAAAGACCTCTTAGGAATGGGGTGAGGTCAACAGTAGACAGTCTAAGGTTAGACTTTTGGGGTTTTGGGGAAGAAACCAGAGGTGATATTCAGCAGGTTCTGACCAGTTCTGGAGAACCGGTAGTGGAAATTTTGAGTAGTTTGGAGAACCAGCAAATACCACCTCTGACTGGATATTTTACAGTATCCGTCCCCTGCCATGCCTACCAAGCCACGCCCACAGAACCGGTAGTAAAAAAAAATTTGAACTCCACCACTGGAAGAAACCAAAGTCAGGTAGAGTATTCCAGGTATTGACCACTCTGTTTCTGAAGCTGTATTTCCTGCAATTGAGTTTGGTGTGGTTTACCTTGAGTTTGTATGTATTATGAGTTCATGTATTGTTATGGTTGAAGTTGAAGTAGTCATTGACGGGTAGGACATTGCAATGGATAATTTTATGTACTATGCTTAGATTGGACCGAAGTCGGCGTAGTTCTAAGTTGTCTAAGCCTAAAATATCAAGTCTGATGGCATAAGGTATTCTGTTATGAGTAGAGGAATGGAGGACTCTTCTCGTGAAATATCTCTGGACTCTCTCAATTGTGTTAATGTCTGATATGCAATGCAGGTTCCAGACAGATGAACTGTATTTGAGAATTGGTCGAGCAAATATTTTGAATGCTCTATTAGCTGTACAATATTACTGGAGAAAAAGCTACGCAGGATTAGGTTTACAACTCTTAATGCTTTTTTGGCTATGTTGTTACAGTAAGCTCTTAGCACTTAGATCATTCGAAATGAGTACTCCAAGGTCCCTGACAGAGTGGGGGTCATCTTTAAGGTCATGTCCATTCAGCTTGTATTTTATTTTCTGATTTTTTTTTGCCAATATGTAAGACAGCACTTGTTTGTTGAGATTTGAAGTTGCCACTTGTTTGACCATTCTGACATATAGTTGAGGTCTTTTTGAAGGGTACTAGTATTGTCACTGGTGTTGAAACATTTTACATCATCAGTGAAAAGAACGCAGTAGCTTTTAATATGATCACAAAGGTCATTTATATAAAGTATAAAGAGAGTTGGTCCTAGAACACTGCCTTGGGGGACATCGCTGTTGACAGGTATGGGATTTGATAGGGCGCTCCCTATTTTGACCATTTGTTGCCTGTTTGACAACAAATGCAGCTATCCAATTATGCAGGTGTCTGGAGATGCCATAATATTTTAATTTTAGAAGTAGTTTATCGTGTACCACTGAATCAAAGGTTTACAGAAGTCTATGTAAATAGTGTCTATTGCTTTACCCTGATCAAGTTGTGTAGGCCATATATTTTTGCAGTATAGGAGTTGCAGATTACAGGATTTTTTTTTCTGAAACCAAATTGTCTGTTAAAGAGTAGGTTGTTTGTCTCAAAGTGGAGGGTAATGGATTGGTTAATAATTGATTTCATGACTTTGCAGGTGACACAACAGATTGGTCTGTAATTTTCAACTAGGCTGGGGTCTCCCTTTTTGAATCTAAAAGAAACTGTACCAGTGTTTGAAGACAATGTGGCATGTATACAAATGGCATCAGGAGATCGCATTGGAAGCAGGAGTAAACATGTAGACATCAAATATTGTAATATTAGGGAGGCTGTAAAGGAGAACCTGATAATGTTACAGCATTTTTCTACTGACCATAATATAGCTGATATATTAACAAAGCCTGTGGAGAAACCTCAGGAATATGTTAAAGCATTGGTTTATCAGCTGTTTAGCTTTAAATGGGAGAAGTGTTGAGGTAATGATTTAATAGCTGACCAGCTGCTCTAAGACTGCTGTAAATGCTGATGCAATGAGGATGAGTCAGCAGAGTTACTGCCGCTTTAAGAAGCTGTCTATAGAAGGGAGGCCATGAGAGGGCGTATCTCTCCTCATGTTTTATCTCCATTGTAGTTCTCCATGTAGAGTTGAAGATTGATTGATTGCCTGGTATTTGCCTACTAGTGTATGTATGTATATAGTAGTTTTGTATATAAACCGTTAAAAGAAAAAACCTTTGTGTCCTGTGTTTTACTCCTGGATTGTCTCACAATAGTAGTCATGCTGCAAACACTCTGACAGTTTCATTTCATTTAGATTTATGGGAGCAAGGTGTCTGCTGTTGCTCAAGTGTAAGGGGAGGTCACGCTACGTATTTGCTACTTTAGCTTATGGAAGCAGTTTTTTTCTGCTTTTTCCTATTTTTAAATATTGCCTACAAATTTCCTGTATTTTCTGGTTGTATTCTAATAAGGAGACCCAGTCATAATTATAGTGGTCATTATATTATTGCCACAACCAATCTAATGATGGTCTAAGACTTTTGCACAGGATGATATATATGGAGAGAGGAGGAGGTTGTTATCCATATATTCTCTATCCATATATTCTGTACATACTCATTAATAAGCCCACCTGTAGAAACAGACCCTCAAATTTTAAACCAAAATGCAATGAAAAATGTTGCACCCACAGATAAGCCAGTTGTGAATATTAAAATATAGGAAAAAATTGAGGGTCAGCTTATCTGCAGGTGGCACATTTTTTATGGTATACTAGTTAAAAATTCATGGGTGGCTTTGTGCAAGAATATATTGTAACCTGTAATGCAAAAGATAATTCTTCCATTGAAGAAGAAAATAGAAAACTAATATCCCATAATATTCTTCTTTTTTTATTATTTTATAGCATCTAACCTAGAAAATTGAAGGTTTTTTAAAAATTCTTTTAACCATTTCCATTCTTTTATGATTACATCTAAAGAATATATTCTCCTAGAAAATAATTTTCTCTTTATATGCTTTATGTGCCTCATTAATTTGAGCAAACTTACAAGGGACCTTCCGAAGAATCATAACATCACTAGTTCAGCTATTTTAATGAAACACAAGACTTAAGAGATTCCTTTAAAAAAAAAATACATTAATTTTTTTAAAAGGACTCTCTTAAGTTGCACTTTGTTCAACAGGAATTAAACCTTGGTCTTCACTTAGATTGTTCATTGACTTTATTATCTTTCTACTTATTACATATTTTAGCATGTAAACTTTACTACAAAATGGATAAAAGTCACATGTGCCAAACCAGAAAATATACAAACAACATTCTTCATAGGGACAGTGGCCACTAACAGTTATACACAACTGCACATCACATAGATTCTTTTTTCTGGAATAAAAATTATTTGTCTACTTATTGTCCCTAGAACTCAAGAACAATTAATAAGAAGTATAAACATAGAACCATTTGATTTCTTCAATACAAAGCACTACACAAATGTCATAGACATAGAAAGTTTGCTCATAAATATTTTCCATTTAATATTTTAGAGCTAAAAATATATTTCAAAGGCATCTTTATTAATTAAATCCATCTAGGGCTGTTGGGGTTGATTGAACTCTCTTTCTCATTTCCACAGCCACCCTCTTCTATCCAATCTTGCAGCTTTACATTCTTGGAAGAAGCTGATGTGATGTACTGTAGCTGAGACCTAAAATTGTACAACTGTCTATAAAAATATATAATTTTATTTCCCTTGCTGAAGGCCTGCACTGCTAAGCCTTAATTTCTACATTAATTTCATGTACATAGAACTTCAACACACACACACACAGAGTACACATGCCACATTCTTCTAGACACAACTATTATTCTAATTAGCAATGCAATGAAAGGCAATATGTCAAAGATACACATAATTTCCACTTATTAACATATGGCACAATTTAGCAGTAACTTTTATGTGCTTCCTCTACTTTGTGTTCTTTAAATGCACCCAAATCATGATTTTAAATACAAGAATAAGTTCAAGAATACATTTTTGCTCAAAAAGGTAGGCAAACTTGGAGTACCAGTTCCAGTTGCACAGGTATCAATTGTCTTTGGATGGCATCATCCAGACTTAGAACTAGAATTTTGGAAAATAGTAAATGCAGTTGGTCAAAATATCACCCTCTTCTCATAGCCTAACTTCACTCCAAATGGAAGCAAGAGAGTAATATGTTTCTTTGCTGTTATATTTGCTTTTTATATTTTGCCAATTCCACCATAAACACTTCCATTCTTTTAGGTTTGATTTTAAGGACTAAATTTTACACTTAAAAATCTGAGAAAGCAAAAAAATGCACTTGCATGTATAGCATCCCTAAAGGAGGAAGTTCAGTTTTCTAATTAAGTTGGAATTCTAATGCCATTTCCCATGCAGGTGATCTATTAAGTACTCAACACTTAACACAATGTTTTACATTTGAATGAAATACTTCAATAAGGTTCTAGAATTGCAACTTTGTTCAACTAGCACTCCAAGTCATGTTACCTTGTGATTAATATGATTTAAGTTTGTACAGGATGATCTCTAACTATGATCCATTTGGACAGGAGAAATATTAGGCCACAGTTTACATCACAAACAGACATGGCCCACAACATTTCAAGTTTAAAAGCAGGAGACTCTTGGAAAAAAATGGAATGAGAGGGGTCTACTAATTAGTTGATATTGCTGGCTCTAGTATTCTTTTCCCATTAGAAGTTTCCAGTTCTTGTAAATACAGATTTTTGTGTAAGCAGCTCACAGATCAGAATAATTGATCATTAATACAGTCCGTTTCTACTCTTTCCCAACTATCTTCATATGTGAATGTGAGAGTGCAAAGGTAATTTAATGTAGTAGCAAGCACTGATCAACCCCCTATCCCCTTAGCCTTAATCTAAAGGCCATGGTCTATTGCTGGGATTAGATCCACCAAATCAACAATGATCAAAAGCAGGGAAAAACATTAAATTTATTGTTACACATCTGGCAACTACTAAAGTTCAGTTGTAGATTCAGTCACTTTAAATATCCCTACCTTACTTTGTAAACATATCAAACTAGGTAGATGTGCAGAATATGTAATGAAATGTTCATCATCCACTTTATCTACACTTTATGTAGATTAAAAACCTAATTACAAGGGCTATGTAGTCCGTTGGAATTGATCTCCAAAAGGTACTTTTGGTCCTGCATGCAATACTTTAAAACAGCCGCTTAGTCTTGGGAAACAAAATGGCTGATTTAATGCACTGCAGACATGTGCTACCTTTGTGCTCATGAATATTCCAAATAAAACATCCAATGCTTTGTATAGGTCTTCTCCATATGATTTAATTAAGGGATAGAGATAACCATGTCACTTTAGAATGAAAATGCTAATTTTTCAAGGTAGATTGAGCCCTTTGTATGAATTCATGGTTACTTGATTGTTAATTCTCTTCAGACATTTCACATGCTGATAATGATCCTCAGTCATCATTCACATTATGATCCTCATCATGCACATGTTCACATGAAGTAATAAAAAAAATTAAAGGCCACCTGATTTAACAGCACTATAAAATTAATCTGGTATTGTTTAAATTTGATGTAGCTTACAACAAAAAGAAAATCTAACCATAGTTATGCACAGTCATATTGATTAAACATACTTTTATTACAATCTTTCCTGCTATATATTATGAATCAAGAAACAAATATGATCACAGTATCAGACAGACAATAATTAACACCACCCAGTCAAGATTACAAATCAGGGAACTCAACAAGGCAGTATCTTTAGCTAGAAATCTTGGTCCTCTAAATTCTTTGTAAAGTATTGCGTTGATCAGATTTGCTGCATTTTGAATACAATTTGATAAAGAAATATAAAAAGAAAGCAGTTTTAATATATGTACATGCTTGTCAAAAGCATGTTATAATGCAAGGATTTGTATGTTTTCACATGCATGTTTCTACTCATTTTCTACATTTTATTATGTTCAAGGTGGTGAGAAAGTATTAAGTATGTTAAAGTTAACTTAAGCTTCATTTTACATGAATTTTGGTCCAGCTGAGGAGCTAGTAAAAGATTACAGTATGTGCAAATGTATTAGAGGTTCCTCACTCAGTATATTTTAAAGAACAAATAAGTTCAGGAAGATAATTAATTGCTTAACTATTTTCCTGTTATTGATTTCTGTGCACAACATTGTCATCTTCTGAAGCTATTTTGTTAAAAATCTAAGCGTGCCAGAATCCAGTTACACATTTTTTAAAGAATATAATTAGCTTCTTGTGAATCACAAACAATTCAAACCATAGTAATAAAAATTACTTTCACAGATATACTGAAATAAATGGTCCTTGCAAAAAGTGAGATACATATGAGCAACAAATGATCACCACCATTTATTTTTGTTAAAACAACTACTAAAAAGTAGTAGTAGTAGTTTTTCAATTTAGTGATATATGTCAACATGGTTATACTTCTGCCAGTATTAAAATACACACTATTTAACTTCTTTAATTTCAACATGTTTCTTATCCAGCTAGGCCAGATCAGTTAGCTCAGATCAGCTTTGTGTCCATATATTTTTGCGTGTGTGTGTGTGCGCGCGCGCGCACGCATGCGCGCGCAAAGAGAGAGAAAGAGTCTGGTTCCTTGCATTAAAGTATCTTAAGTTGCTGATGCTGAAAAACATAGTTGGGTTCACACTTTGGGATAATGGCTAAAGCCAAGCCAAGAAATCACTTTATTGTTTGTATAAATCAGCCAGTGAATTTGTTATGGTTTATGACAGGGACTGGTAACCTTTAGAAATAGTGGATACCGTTATACAATCTCACACAATAGTGAAGATGCCAAGCACATAAGTGCAGTTTTGTAATGCCAAAATTATCTCATCCTATAATTATCTTATCCTGAGTTCCCACAGAAGAATGGTAAGATTCCATGCGAGAGCAGAGCATTAAAAAAAAAAAAAAGCATTCTGCAGGATTTATTTAGAAATTTTGATGCTTATGTGTTACCAAACCCACCTATGGCTATAATAAACCATTGCCTCTCTTCTGATCCATTTCACTGCTCTTTGGAGAAAAAATGGAGGGAGGGAAGGAGAGAGACAGGGAGGGAGGGAGAGAGGGAGGGAGGGAGGGGGAGAGAGAGATGTATGAGGATAGTGCTGGTACTTGATGGGTACACTTGTGGAACAGTCATCTCTAATAGTGTATATATTAAAACGCAGTTGAGGATAAAAATGACATGGATGAGCCTATAAGTAGGACAAGTACTCTGTGAAATGTTCTTTCCTTTAAATGAATATGCCAATATATAAAGTATTTGTTAGTAGCTTTGTATACTTCTGATTCCAAAAGTATTTGGAACTGGTTGTCTAAAAGAAAAAACAGTCATAGGAAAACTGAATCACTGTTCTATGCAATATGTAGATTTACTGTATATGTAACCAGATAATGTAAAGCAATTAAAAACCTCAGCAACTACCAAATGATCTGTGATAACATACTGAATTTTTATATTTCCTTTTCTTTAGTTACTTCATGTTGAGTCTCAAAACATAAGAATCAATGTCTATAGCAGGAGCAACACTGTAGGTTTTTCCTCAAAATTAGGGGAATGATTAAAATTAGCCAGCACAGAATTAAAAACACAGGTAAATAATATTTAGTATTAAAATACATCATTTTAAAGTAATATTTAAAATTTATTATAAAATGAAGATGTAGGTTGATTTTGAAGGGATCTTTTCTTTCCTCCAAAAGGAATATTTGGCTGCTCTCCAGACTAGCTGGATGCCTGGCTAAGGTTACAGTTGTACTGGCTTGGTGATTATTCTACAAGAGAAGGCATTTGAGAAGGTTTGACATAATTAAAATTCTGTATTGAATAAACATTCACTTTTTCTTTAAAAATAAAATGATTCTCATTTATCTAAAAAAAAAACCTCAAATTCCAAATGCTCAATTTGAGTTGATACATACTAGTTAACTTATGACCAGGGAAATGGCATTATCAGCTCAACTGGTAGTATATTTTTGATTATTGCAGCTTTAAATATCTATTTTTCTATGAAAGATGATGTGCCTCAATATAGTTGCTCCAGATTTAGGAATACCATGGCACTAATTCACCTAGTAGGAGCGCAGGGCAAGAATTATGATTGTTTATTTTCAAATTTCCCCAAATTATGAGTAGTGATATGAGTAGAATGCAACTTTAATCCTTGATATTTTCTGGAATCTTTTAAATGTCCAAATAGGCTTAACAGATGTAAAGTCTCTGTGCTCAGATATATTTTTCCCCCTCAAAACTATATTCCCCCAGTCTGAATACTGTGTTGGATCTAGGTAGGGCAGTGAACAGTGATATTGGATTTTTTTTAAAGTTAGAATGGCAATTGTTGACATAACTGCTTTGTTTGGTTCTGTTGGCAGGAATCTCATGCTGTAGTAGATTGTCACATTTCCTACACTTTAACTTCTTAAAGGTTATTTCATGGAAATGGTAACAATACATAAATGACTACAAATTTCAGTCAATTATAGAATTTTTCCATATTTCAACAAGAGAAATACTTTTTCAGATACAGTGTTTGCATTTTGATTTTATCTTAAAGGGAATATATTTCTCTCAGATCTGTTAAATATGTTTTAACAAGAAACATATGTTTGTATTTTGCCTCCAACAATTAAAAGAGTAGGTGAAAGAAATTCTTATTCAAAGTAAACATTCTGAAAAAGAGACAAAGGAAAAAAACCCCAAAAGAAATAAGAGTTCCATTGGTCTAAACTATTAAATAAAACTTCTAAAAGTGTTATTTCTAAAGCAAACCAGGTATCCAGTCAAGATATATCTGGATGATACAGAGATGTGGGAGACACTGTCGGAATCTATTGTGCTTTGACCTGAAAACCTGAAATCAGAATTCTACCAAAATGAGATTGATTCATCTAATGGAATGCTTGAAGCTATGATCAGATAGCTGGATGAAGAAATGCTATCTTCTCCAAAAGGACTTATATTGGCATTTTCATGCAAAATATGGCTTCCAAAACAGTGCAGGGTCTAGGAAGTGGTTCAAAATGTCTTTTAGCTTCAAATATAGATGCTATGATTACATACTGAAAGGCTGGGACAGGGCACGTGGGCAATATTTGGGCAATGTAGTTTATGAAAGCAATCAATGATGTGCTAGTGCTTTTTACATTTTAATTCTTTCCACAGGTAAGATGTAGGTAGTCTGTCCCTTTCTGCTGTCATGCCTACACATTACTGAAAGGCTATTCCAGAAGACAGAGAAGGTCTTATATTGCCCTAGCCCTAAAATAGGCCACTAGTGAGAAACTTGTTCGATGCTGAAGACCACTTTGGAGAAAGAAAGAAAAAACCCTTCAGGTGTATGATAAAGGATCATTTAAATATTTTTAATAAATGAAAGTTAATAAGTCTTTCAGATTCTAAGAATGGAATTCACAGGTTGCTTCAAGAGTTTCACATGTTAATGACAGCAGTTTTGCAAGAATCTGAGTTTCAAAGATGTCCCAAGAAAATGATATTTAATAGAAATAATGAAAATACCCTGGTTACCTGTAAAGAAGATGTGGATTGTGGATTGATATGATACCCTGTTTTTTTCTGTTCCATATAACTTACGGAAAAATCAACAATGGGGCAAAGAAATGAGAGATAAATTTAAAATTAATTGTGCATGATCTTAAGACTAATAAAGAGAATCAAAGCTAATTTGGTAATTTCAAAGAGATTGGGCAGTGTAGGGCTTCACGGTTTACTGACTGAGGTTTAGACAACAGGTTCCTGATGCTTAGTTGGCAACTGTGGTTGGTATCTTCAGAGGCAAAGATGGCCACAATCACAGTTGTCAGTGAAACATCAGAAAATCTGTTGTCTAGGCCACCATCCCTAAACCCTAAAGCCCAACACAGCACAACAGATACTGGCCACGAAAGCCTACACCAGTATATTAAAAGAGATTGCATGCAAAAGAAGTCCTGTACTTTACTGACTTCCAGAATATTTAGACATGTTTACATTTCACTGCAATGCACAACTGAATTATTTTAGAGTAAACTATTAATAACTGTAAATTCTTGAGATTGGTCTGTACTGGTTAATCAATATTAATGGACATTAAACTCCCAGAAAAATCTATGTTCATTTCCAGAAAGTGTGCTATGTTTTTGAAAGGGGTAGAAACTGCAACAGCAATGCTTAGTGTGTTAAAACTCTGCCTCTGATGTAACTGATTTATTAGATGGTGCTTTAATTTAATTCTCCATTCATAAAACAGGAATACTCTCACTCGCAGCAATAAACAGTGAATTGGTCTTAATATGTAACACATAGCCTTTCATGTCACTCTTAGTTGTCAGAAGATAAACTGGGATACTCAGTAAGTATATCAGTAAGGAAAAAGCTGATAAAATTGAATCAAGCCTATTCTATCAGAGGTAGAATCACCATTATATTCTACACATCATCATTTCTTTCTAAGCAAAAATATGACATGGGATATTTTTAATAGTTCAATATTAAAGGATTAGCACCTCTGGACAGTGGAATCTTGGATTTATTCACAGATGGGAATGGTTCAGACATGTTATACCTCCAAGGCCTGTGTAGAGTACCTAAAAACCCACCCACCCATCCCCTTTCATTGCCTGAACCTCTCTTATGCTCCAGAACAGTTGAGGTACTGAATATTTTAGCAGGCTACCAAAACTCTTCATTTAAGGGAAATGGTAAACTACTTAATTGGCACATGACACTTTACCACAGTTTATATACTCCAGTCACTTGGTTCACTAAAAATGCAATCTTGAAATCTTTGGCAAGGCAGGAAACCTTGTGTGCTTATACCCAGGTTTTATAATGAAATTAAATTAATTTGACAGCCATTTTAATACCTGGGAGGGAGCTGTAATACACACCTAACTTTTTTTCTCTTAATTCAAGCAAGGCCAGCACATGTGCTTGGTAGTGGATCTCATCTATGCTGGGCACTATTTCATGGAAGTCAGGTTTCTGTCACAGATCTAAGGCAAACATCACAATTTACAGGAAAGAAAATGAGGACATCAATACATTGTGTGTTGTTAGGAGGTACACAACCTTTATAACACAGTAGCAGTTATTATTATCTCTGGATTTTCTATGTCCTTTTTGCTTTGGACCATCCTCAGTTCCAGCTGGGCTGAATTAGGTTTGTTTCCTTCTCCAGCTTGGGCTTAAAAGAAAACAAACAAAAAACACAATACCATGGAAATTAAATATTAACATAAAACAGCGCATAAGAAAATCTCAGTTTTCCTAAACCTACACCTCTCCCATCATCAATAAACTTTACTGTCCTTCTACTACAGTTTTTAGATCAGTGCATGAAGATTTAATATATGGAACATTAATAGAATTGTGAAATCTGTGAGTCTCAGGTATGTAGGTTTTTTTGTAATGACCCCAAATATTTGAATGCCTATCTCTGGGAAATAAATCTAGTCTGCTGTTGGAAGATATTAATTTATTTACAGGTAGATGTATGATCATAATGGAATCTGTGTTTATTGGTCTTGGAGTTTGCTGTGTTCTGCTTGATTGGTGTTTCTAATATCTTCTGTCTGTTTTGTAGCATTTTTTGGCTTGATTGGCTGGTAAACAGACCCCCCCTGATACCTCCAGCTCAAACACACCCCAACCAGGCACCCAGATGAAACCTAGCTTCCTAATAAATGATAGCTGTCCATTTACTCGGAGCCAAGCCACACTTAAAAGCCTCCAATACAGGAAACACAATGTTGCCAGCCAATCAAGACAAAAAAATGTGTGCATGTGTCTCAGAGCTATTGCTATCTTCTTTTTGTTCTGTTATTTTAATTTCATATGTTGAAAACTGCATTTTATGGTTTACTTATTTGTACTTTGAAGTTGTATTTACAATGAAAAGCAGACTAGAAAACATTCGCAATTTTATCTCTACTTATTCAGCACCATGCCAATCCATCTTGTAGCCCATATTCATAATCAGAACTATTTTCTGTAAATGGGGGCAACTTTCCCCACTCCAACATCACACTGGCTGGAAATTAGAGGAGTTGTCATTTTAATGCACCTGGTCTGTTCCACTTTGAAACTATTTATGCCAGTGACTCCTGCAATACCTTCTATATGTAAGATGAAAGAAAGATAAGAGAATAGAGCATCATAATTTTTCTTCCTGTTTCTAACTGGATCCAACTAATTTTAAAGATCAAACATACAGATTTGTTGAAAGTTAAATTACTTTCTCACAGAGGTATAAAATTTTTGAAAATATCTGTAGCATATTAACAATTGATTAATTTAATCAGAACCTGACTTATTTTGGCTGGGTTGTTACATAATACTATTGTTGTCACTATTACTGAAGAAGTAATGGTAGCCTGTTTTACACATAATGTAAACCAATATATGAGTGGATTCTCACCTTATATAATGCTCCCCACCACACCAAATCACATTATGACTTAGTGGAAATCATAATGGGACTCAGCAACCTACTGGATTTACATAACAGATTGGGCTAAATATAATAATTAGCTCCTTGTGAGTTTTGTCTGTGTAATGCATAGTTTCATGTGTTGTTCAAACCCATAATTCATTAAACCATAAGGTAAACCATGAGTTACTATGTTATATGAATAGATCAACAATAGAATCAACACAGAAGTCTGGTTGCCTCATTAATCTCCTTTATTATCTGTCCACTTGATCCTTTCAACTAGAGGTACAGGAAACTGAACTGGGGACTTGAGCAAATCACATGCTCAGTCACTCAGCAATGGCACTTTTTAGAAAACCTTCTAATAATAAATGAATATACTGTATACAGAACAATATGCTAAATAAATAAATAACTGCATATAGAATCATTATGAAATTGACCTACCCTTTGCACTCTTGATGGTCCTTTGCAAAACATGTTGCATTGCTGATACTGTCTTTTCACAGGCCATCTGCAATTGTAAAAAGGAAAAAAAGTTTTACAGTATTACCATTTCATTGTCTCTGGCCACATATATTGATTGACAGTTTAATTATTTAAATTGGATAAGAAATACAAATAAAAGTGTTTTACTTTTTAAACTATTTCCCTATTATAGAAATGCTGTCCTAACTGATACACCATACTAATCCTGACAGAAGTTGGTTTGTTATGTTTTTTTTCCTTTGGTGGGTGAAACTATATACTGTGTTTTAACATCAGTCCAAAGTCTGTCCACGATCACTCTTATTATGTTAAAACAGAAGCTTAGCATCATTTCCAAATAAGAGTCTCACTTTATTTTAGAATTATTTTATGGCCACCCAGACTTTTACTAACCTAATACATAGACTTATTTTGTATAATATCTTGATCCTGTTGAGAACAGACAAATGTTTTTTTTTCTGTAACTGATACAGAGAGGAAATGAAAAAAAAAACCCAATCCATACCTTAAGATTGTCTGGGTGTTTGTGAGTCCAAGCCAAGAGCATAGCAGCAAATAGGTCTCCTGTCCCAACAAAGACAGCATCTACTTTGGGAGATTCCATTCGGATCCTTTGTGTCACTATAGTGCCATCTGCTGTAGCTAATAAGGCATTATTACCTGTTAGTTATATTCTTCTCAGCTATGTAATCATATTTATTTATTTATTTATTTATTTGATTTGCCAATTGTTTACAAGATAATAAGTATAAGTGTATACATAGTTGTGAATACATGAAATGGGTACATATAAGAAAAATAAAAGAATAAGAGAAACAATAGGACAGGGACGGTAGGCACGTTGGTGCGCTTATGCACGCCCCCTACAGACCTCTTAGGAAAGGGGTGAGGTCAATAGTAGACAGTCTAAGGTTAAAGTTAGTCTAAGGTTAAAGTTATAGAACAGTACATCTCAGCATAGCTTTGTCATACATTATAGTGTGATGCACTGATAGTGAACAAGATGCATTGACAGTGAACAAGCTATGAACAATATTGGGTGCATGTTGCAATTCTGTGGGAGCACGAGAAAAAATAAAGTATTGGACTTTGACACCGAAATGAATTGGGCTAGAGGACTTTGCAGAATTAAGGATTCCCCCTCCTCGCCCTCAATCTTTAGGCATGTATATTTTTTCTGAAGTCTCCTCTTTCAATGAAAACTTGGAATCTTTAGAAATGAAATTAGTTACTTTCTGTTGACTCAATTACACTTTCTGAACTGCGATAACATGCGCCAATGAGTCAATACATCTGAAAAGCTGTTTCATTCATAGTGCTTTCTTTCACCCTGTGGAACATACAGCTACTTATGATATGGAATTCTGTGGCATTTCAGATCCTGTGAGGCTTCTCCATGATGTGGGTGATATATCTAACTCACATAAGTTCATTTATAAAGTGATTCAGCACCTGAACAGTTTGACTTCCTTTAGTAAATACTAAAGGTGCAATATAACCAATTATTTTAAAAGGAGTGAGAGCTAGATAATGGAATGGTGAATCCCATCCATTTTAAACAAGTCAGCATTAAAAGAATGCAAATTGTAATGGGAACAAGTACACCTAGCCATTCTTAAAATACAGCTTATCAGAACAGAACATGTTATTTTTTTAATTGCCTAATATATCTCTTGAATATAATTGGCATCACCACTATTACTGAAGAGGGCAAAGTTACAACCATCTTCCTTCATATTGTAAATAAAATTATTTTACAGAGCATTATTACAATAACAAAGCAATGTTCTATTAAACAGAAAATCACTGACTAACATTAAGTGATATCTGCTCAGAAACAAACTCTATTTAATTCAAAAATTCATACTCTCAAGTGAGATAGGATTGCAGCTTAAATATTTATTGGAATAAAGTTTGTATATTTCTGCAATTTGTCCTTTATATATTTGAATAGTAGCTGAAAACAAAGCATTACTTTTACTTTGTATTAACAGAAATGGGAAAAATTGGATAAGTGTCATACTACCTGTAAATGCTCTAACAATAGAACAGACTATTGATTAAAAATAAAACATACTTCTCCTTTGGCTTCCTAATGCAATCAGATAATCGTTTCCTGAAGGTGCCTGAAGGTCTGAGCTGGTGATTACAACCGTTTCCGGTCCCATATTGTGGAGCATATCCATTACCTTTCCAAATATATGAGGAAAAATATATTAGTACTAATTTGTGTGTTTGTGAGATGGTGACTCTGCTTCTTGGGACGTAACTGTCTAAACTGCATGCCTTTTTATATAAAATATAATACAAAGAAAACAATTTTCACAGCTTCAATTATTTAAAACTGTCCTTATGAGAGATCAAATCTCTCTGGCAATAAATTGCTTCAGTGCATTCAAGCATGTATAAATCTTTTAGATCTGATTTATTCAGTTAGTAGATCTATGGCACTAACAGAAAGAAAGATATTTTTGCAAGGAAACAGAAAAAAAATGAGAATATCTGAACAAAAGAGCACATGGTGGAAAAATGCAGTGTCATTTTCAGGGGTGGGATCTGACTGGTGTAACTACCGGTTCGGTGATTTTACATTTAATATGGAACATTAAAAGACTGAGATGACATTACAACAACCCTGTTTTATTACTTGTCTGAAGCTTAGATTTTCCTACGTCTTATAATATTGTATGGGAATAAACCAATATGTTGAGGAAAATTGTTCAATAGAGATTTTAACAGGTGGCCAAACTAAAGCTTAAAACTTGTTAATTTGCAGGCTACTAAAGTTGGGCCTTTCACTGCAGCTAAAAGAGTTAATTTGACATTTAATAATATTGTCTTAGAATGAGAATTTCATTTTGACAGAATATAATTAGTAAAATTAATGTCAAAATATTTTACTGCAAGAATCAGATATACTGCTTTTAATCCAGCCTACAGATGTTGAAGCAGTAATAACAGGATGGGACATCCAATGGTCATTGATATCAATGGCACTTCTACAGACATAATTGGCAGGATTGTGTCATGAAAACAGTACCAATTGTACCAAAACAGTGCACTCGACAATGTATAATACAACTGATTTTATTTTGATTCAGCACAGCCTTCTGCAATCTTGATCTCCATCAAACTACACAGACTTCACATCCAGACATTCTAAAAAGTGGTTATGATGGTTGATGCATTCTGGAAGATGAAGTCCATGTATTTTAGAGAAAGGCTGGTGATAACAAATCTAAGATATCAAATCTAAATCTCCCAGTACACTGATTTCCCAAAAGAGCATAGTTCCTTAAATACCCTTCCTTAATAGCAATAGGAGATAAACAGTAACACCAGGAAATGCAAAGTTCTTTATGTATAATCTCATCAAGGCATTCTCAAGAATTTGCTTGAGAACAAAATATTCCACTTGTCTTACTTGTGGATTGTTAGGAATTTGAAGGATAAAATAATATCAGGAACTAGGAATCTTACTAGTTGCTAAAGGTTGAAATCAATAGACACCCCAGACAAAAAATATAGATGTATTAACAGATTTGCTTAATGAAATGTTTTAGGATAAGTAAGCTCTATAGTGGAATCTGTTTATCGCAGGAGCTCAGACATCATGACTACAAAATTGGCATAAACACCAGGGGCAGTATATCAAATCTGATATACTCCAATTTATTTATTGCTGATAGATAGCACAGTCACTTCTAATTTATAATTTTCTGCATAATGGATGGTGGGGAAAATTTTAGTAGAAAAGAGATGTAGCTCTATCATCCTGTTAAAGCACTGAAGGAGAAACCTGGCTTCCAACACACTTACCTCTATTGCTTCTTTTTCAGAGCGTATCTTCCTGCCAGTAAGTAACCTAAAGTAAGGAAATAAAAATTTAAAACATTGTTTTTCCCATTAGAAATAAAATTTCCATGTTTTTCATGGAATATTTTGGTGAAAAACATCAATTAAATCTCTTTTAATGATAAATGAGATAAAATTTGTAAAAACTTTGCACCAATCTATTTAACCACTCTCTTGTCCCATTCTATTAAATACAGTAGATATATTATTGAAGCCAAAGTATGGTATTCTGTGGCTACCACATAGCTTAATGGAAGCTCAAGATGCATTTTTAAAGGAAACTATCAATAATTCCACAAGCTTACCACAATTCCACAAAGTATGATTCTAGTTCCTTCTCCTTTAGCCTTTGCACCAGTGTTCAGAATTGTTTTAAGGCTGTCCACTCAAAAGAATGTTGCTGGTACCTTAGCTTCAAAGGCACTTGAGCAGAATTCCCAACGGAGATTGAACCACTTCACTGAGTTTATTATTTCAGGAATTCAGAGCAGGTTTAACTTTATTCTGTTGATTTCTGCCGAAATGTCTCTCAAAAGCAGGTCTAATTTACTCCCCCCCCCCCAAATTTTTTTATTGATTAAATTATTAAAACATTGGAAACGGTGTAATCGTCCTGACATTCCTTTTTGTCATACATGTTATCAGATATAATACATATTTTATATACATTTGTGCATTTATACACTTGTACAATTCATTTTTATCCGTAATTACCCATTCTACAGATCCTACTTTTTATTCTGGGTCCTTCCTTTCTTTTCCCACCATTGATAAAATTTGTTCCATATTTTGTGGTATTCTGTCTCTTCCTTATTTTTTAATTCTAGAGTCAATCTATCCATTTCAGCACATATCAATATCTTTTTTTATCACCTCACCTTTGTTGGGAATTTCTCTCTTTCTATTTTTGGGTGAAAGTCATTCTTGCTGCAGTGATAATATGTACTATTAGGTAAATCTCCTCTTTGCTATATCTTTCTGTCATAATGCCAAGTAAAAATAATTCCGATTTATACTCTATTTTCTGTCCCATCATCTCTTCTAACCACATTTGGAACTTATGCCAAAACTCCTGAGTTTTCTCAAAGGTAATATGTTCTATGTTCTTGGGTACATTTCCAACAAATAGGTGACAGATTTTTGTACATTTTAGCCAATCTTGCGGGAGGGAGGTGCCACCTATAAAACATCTTATCTAAGTTTTCCTTATATGATGTGGCCAATGTTATATTTTTATTTCACTCCCATAATGTTTGCCAATTATCCAAATCTATATAATGTCCAAAAATTTTGGCCCATACCATCATCGTTTCCTTTACCTGTTCGTCATTCATTTTATAGTCCAATAGGAATTTATAAATTTTCCTCATCAATTTGTCATCTGTCCCCAATAAAACTGCAATGTAGTGTTGTGGCTTGTCTACTAATCATGTCTTTCCCATATCTTGTTTGAATTTGTAAGTAGGTCCACCATTCCAAATCTACCCCTTGCTCTTTTAGCTCTTGTCTGGACTTCAATTCCCTTTTTTATTTATTATTTCCTGGTATGTGATAATTTTTTCTTGATTCAAAAGGTTTGGATGTATTAATGCCTCTAAAATGGATAACCAAGCTGGAATTTCCATATAAATTTGCTGTTTAATTTTACTCCATACCATGAACAATTCTTGTCTAATCTGGTGTCTTTGAAAACATTTATGTGCACTGTAGCTGCCATACCTATAAAAATGCATGCCAACCTAGTTGTAAGTCATGGCCTTCTAGTGATAATAATCTTCTATTTTTTAAGGTTATCCAATCTTTTACCCTGGTGAGCATTGCTGCTTGATAATATATTTCCCAATCTGGTAAACCAAAACCACCTCTTTCTTTAACCTCTTGTAAAAGTTTTAATTTAATCCTAGGTTTTTTCCCCTGCCATATGAAATTTAATGTCATTTTATTCAAATTTCCCCCCCACCAAAATTATCTAGTTTTATGGGTATATTTTGGAACAGAAAGAGCAGTTTTGGCAATACATTCATTTTTATTACGGCTATTCTACCCATTAGTGAAAGCTTCAGAGTTCTCCATTTTTCCAAATCTTTTATTTGCTTCACTAATTTAACATAGAATACCTTTATTGTCATTGCATTCTACAAATATAATGAAATTTGAAAAATATATAACATAGTTACCTTATCCTCTTTGATTGTTGTACATCTTGTCAAGATGTTAATCCCTATCTGGATATCTATTCCCCTGGCAAGATTTTCTTTCTGTTTGTTTGTCATGTTCTTGACTATCTTTTTAGTTTTTTCTTTCTTTATTTTTAATCCTGCAGCTTCCCCATAATCTTCTAGTATCTCCATGAGTTTCGGCCTCAATTGTTGTGGTTCTTCCAAGATGAAAACTGTCATCTGCAAACGCTTGTAATTTAAATGTTTTCCCCTTAATTTCTAGACCTTCTCCACTGAGCCGAAGGGAGAATCCAGGATGGGGTAGTCTCTAGTCTCCTAGCTCTGCAGACCGAGTTGAAAAACTGAGGACACACCCCCTGGTAACAGTCCCCAGTTCTTCACTCGGTCTCAGCATGTTCAGACCACCCTTTAAGGGCTCTGAATAGTTAGGATTGTAGAAGAATATTCACCCCCTGGATTAAGCTTTTTTAGCAGAGAGACTTAGATCAGGTTTGACAGGCTTGTTGGTTTAGCACTTTCATTTTTTTTCACGCCTTTTTTCCAGTTCGCGGTTTTTTGCTTGTTATTTTAATTTTTTGACTTTCCTTGTTGGTGGACTGGTTTTTTTTTCTGTTTTGTGCCAAAACTTGGGTGGAAGTGACCCTGAGAGCCCGTGTGGCCTGGGCTGGGGTGGGAGTCGGTGTCTTATTCAACTCGCCTTCTCCTGATCCACTTTCCCTTGCTTGGGATGAGCTGCAGCTGCCGCTAAGCGCTACTGTCCCTTTTCGGCAGCAGCGGCCATTTATTTCATTTGGGGACAATCTTGCAATTTGTCTCCAGGATTGTCCCTGGGGGGGGGGGGGTGTTTCTGGCCATTGGAATTAAATCCTGACCCCCCCCCCACCCAGTCCCCAGAGCACCGTGGCAGCTGCGAGATGCTTGAGTCTGCCTGATAATTGCGGTGCAGCCAGCGCAGCTTGCAAGCTTCTGACCTGTCAGTGCTTGCTGCAATTCAAAGAGGCAGCCTTTTTCAACTTTTTTTCCCTGACTCGGCTTTTGAATTGTGGAGCTGGGCTGAGCTCACCACTTTGGGTCGCACTAGCCTCCTGAAGTGGTGGACAGCTACTGTGGCCGTAGCTGACAGCTTAGGCTGAATATTTTTTGTTTTTTTACTTCTTTTTCCCTTTCTCTACCCCTGTCAAGTGACAGTTATTTTTGGTGGGCTCAAAGATGGCCGCCAAGGGAGCTGATCAAGAATTGTTAGTTCCTCAGCAGGGTAGAGAGAAGGCTGTAAAAGGATCTCCTAAGCCCAGGTCTGCTGGTCTGGAGGCAGCAGCTAGGATTAGAGCCAGGGCTCTAGCCCCTAAGAGACCCTCTAGGGCTGAGGATAGACAGGCCAGACGTAGACAAAAAGCCATAGACAAACAGTTTGACAGGGCAGTGAGAGATTCCAGGATGGCTGAAAACAGAGCCACCTCTCAAACTTTGCCTCCTCAAGATGACAGGCAGCCAGACCAACTGGCAGATAGGCAGTATATGACTGCCTGGTCTCCTGGGGGCTCAGGATTTTCAAGTACACAGGATTTTCAGGGAAACCTCCAAATCAGGGCTGAGACCTCTCACAATTTTTCTGAGCCGTCTCAGGGGATCTCGATGGCGGCACCTGCAGACCAAGTCTCCAGCAGAGCCAGACCTGTGCCTGCAGCCACCTTTACACCTACAGCAGCTGGCTTACAGCCTGAGGAGACCCAGATGCAAGAAATGCCATCCTTCATGAGAGCCTGGATCTCCCAAACAATAAGACAGGAATTGCAAGCAGAGGTCAACCAGTTACGCCAGCTATCTTATTTGGACACTAACAGATGGGTCCTGCAGGGGCAGGGGCAGGGGCAGGCTTCTGTAGAACAGCTGATCCACTTCAGAGAGTGCTCAGCTTGGCTCTAAGAGAGACTTCCTTCCAGAAAGGGATTTTTCGGATGAGGAGTCGGAGGTAGCAGGTCCCTCCTCCTTTAAAGGCCTTTTCCAGCCGGCTCTTTTCAAGACTCTGCTGGTTAAGGCCAAGAGCACGGCTCATCTCAAAAAGGACATGGTTACTCAGGACCTTCCCAAGGAGGGAGAGGATCAGGAGGATTTCCTGTTCACTGAGAAAGCATCTGTGGTGGACGCTGTACTGCTGCCCTAGATGTTTCTGAACCTGATCAAAAAGCAGTGGGAGTCCCCTGGGATGTACATTTGCCCCAGTGGACCTGAGTCTACCTTATTTAATGTAGACAAGGACCTTTTGGACATTATGGAAATGCCAAAGGTAGATGGCCCAGTGATAGCCCTAGCTTCCTCATCTGTCATCCCACCTGATGCGGAGGACGTTTTAAAGACAGAGGAGAAGAAGGCGCTCTGGAGAGCTCATCAAGCCGACTCCTGGGCCATCAGAGCATCGATGACCGCATCTTTTTTTACTCGGGTCTCTTTGTGGTGGCTGAGGCAGCTACAGGGCAGAATCCCACCTGAGGATCTCAGGGTGCATCAGGACCTGAATAAGATTGTAGCTGCAGCTCAACTGACTGCTGATGCCACCCTCATATCAGCCAAATTTTCTTCCAGAGCCATGGCCTCTTCCATAACAGCATGCAGGCTTCTCTGGCTAAGAAATTGGCAGATGGACGTCAGAACCAAATGGAAGCTGGCGTTGGCTCCCTATAAAGGGGAGGCCCTGGATCCTTTTTTTTATTGAAACCAGGGACAAGCGAAAGATCCTGCCCTCCCAGGGGAGGCGCTTTGATTACAGGTCTCATCCCTACTACAGGAAGCTCTCCTTTAAACAGGGTGAAGCTGGGGCAGGCTTTCCCCATCA